TATTCCTCTTGTGATCGTTTCTGTCATGATAATTTTGTTTCTCTTGTCATCATAGTCAATGTTTCTCTTGTCATCATGGTCAATGCTTCTCTTGTCATCATGATCAATGTTTCTCTTGTCATCATGAACAATGTTTCTCTTGTCATCATGGTCAATACTTCTCTTATCATCATGGTCAATACTCTTGTCATCATGGTTAATGCTTCTCTTGTCATCATGGTCAATATACTTCTCTTGTCATCATGGCCAATACTCTTGTCATCATGGTCAATGCTTCTCTTGTCATCATGGTCAATGTTTCTCTTGTCATCATGGTCAATACTTCTCTTGTCATCATGTTCAATGCTTCTTTCGTGATCATAGTCAATATTTCTCTTGACATCATTACCAATGCTACTATTGTCACCATGGTGAATTCTTCTGGGTATCCCCTTGCCAAGAGTACACCAAACACTTGAAACAAGGCACCACTGTAACAAGAGAAAGAGAAATACAAGGCCTGATCGGGGTTCAAACCTGGCACCCTCCAAACTCTAGACGGGCGCTCTAACCAATTGAGCTACCTGGTTGCCGAAGATCAACCCAGTCCAGCTTTACTACATTCCTCCCTTCTTCAACATAGTCTTTGACCCCAAAGACACATGAGACCCTTTACCACCTTTCATGGGTATATTTGGCTGGGTGCCAAATTTGTAACAGGAGAAAGAGTAATGCATTCCCAGACTGGGATTCGAACCCAGGACCCTCCAAACTCTACACGGACACTTTAACCAATTTAACTACCTGGTCACTGGCAATCGACCCAGTCCAGTTCCGCTACACTTCGTTTGTGATCATGGCCAACATGTTTCTTAAAATAACGGCCAACACTTATTCTTTCATGATCATGGTCAATGCTTCTTTTACGATCATTTTCTATTCACCAGTGTCAATGTTTCTCTTGTCATCATGGCCAATGCTTCTGCTGTGACAACTCTCCAAGCAGAAGCCAAACCTGTTATCTTGGATTACAGAATATTGGTAATATGAGGATACACATGAACGTTATTGTATAAGTACTATTTACCACTAAGTATGAAAATATCAGATCAATGGAACAGAACTTATAGACAAGAAAGTCTCAGCCAATCAGGAATCAAGGTGGCCATCTTGGATTTTGGAATCAAGATAATATAACCTTAATTACCATGTAGATAGAGTACCATTTACCACAAATAGTGAATAAAATAACACCAGCAGAATAAAGTGTTTCTCTGTCAGTCTCAAGCAACAAACAATGGCCATCTTGGACCCGGAATCTGGGTATTATAGTGTTAACATAGGATATCTACCAAGACCCATCAAAATGAACATAAACAATACAAGTCAGAGATGGCCATACATTGTAGTTTGGACAGCTTATAGACCCGTTCTAATTTAAGTAAAAGTGAGCAAATAAGCGTTAACCACCAAAATGAACATTATTTGGTCAGAGAGAGCGATACAATGTATTTTTGGCAATATCTCCTTTCCAGCAACCTTGACCTTGAACAATTTGTTTCATTGCACATCTACATATCACAGTTTATCACCAGGTGAAATTTCAGACTTCTTGATTCTTGAGTCATCCCCGGATGGACGGAGAGTAATTAAGACACTGTGATGACAGCAAAGCAGGCTGGCATCTCCAATGCAGGGCCTTAAGTTATTGGTGATGTGCACTGTCTAATCTCCATATATGGTAATAAATCTGGTTTGATATGAGGCTACCGACATCTCATCTTGGAGAATTAGTTTTTCATTCAAAAGAAGAATAAATAACTAACAATAGACATTTAATGAGGATTACAAGTTGAAAAGTCAGACAAGTTGACAGAGATATTGAGTAAGGTTTGGACCTAGTCATCCTTACATCAGATGGGTCAGTGATAATTATAACACAGAAATATTGAGTAAGGTGTGGACCTAGTCATCCTTACATCAGATGGGTCAGTGATAATTATAAGGTTTGGACCTAGTCAACCTTACATCAGATGGGTCAGTTATAATTATAACACAGAGATAGTGAGTAAGGTTTGGACCTACTCATCCTTCCATCAGATGGGTCAGTGATACTTATAACACAGAGATATTGAGGAAGGTTTGGACCTAGTCATCCTTACATCAAATGGGTCAGTGATAATTATAACCCAGAGAAATTGAGGAAGGTTTGGACCTAGTCATCCTTACATCAGATGGGTCAGTGATAATATAACACACAGAAACAAGAAGGGTGCAGCATTCATCTGGAAATACATTTATCATCACAGGCTAGTATGAATTCAAGATGAAATAATTTTCATCCATTCTTTCACATGTGTATGATACAAAGCAACATGGTTACATTACATGTAAGCTTCCATGTAGAATTTCCATACTATATCGCCATTAAGATTTCCCCCTTTTTGCATGTTATGTATATAAATATGTAACTTCAAACATTTATTCTGTTTCTCATTAATCTGAAGGAGGCTGGACTTCCTCCCCTCACTTTCTGTTTTTAAGGTTTGAAAATGAAGTAGGTATTTTTTAATACTATAAAAGAAACATCAATCAAATTGCAAACATTTCCTATAGTTCTCGACAGACTGGTTTTACCAACATCCTGTCACTTTTATTACACAATCCAATCACACTGGTGCAATCTATGTAATTGAATGATTACTTTTGTAGCCTTCAGAGTGAAATGTCAACACACACGATGTCCACTATCTCTGTAAATCTTCAAAACAGTTCTGATAAGGTGACATTATCATCATGATTGGTGCATTGCATGCATGGGAATCGATGGGAAGTTGGAGGCTTGCAGAGGGATGGTGGCTTGATGTGGTGGCTTGATGGAGGGTTGGTGACTTGATGGAGGGTTTGTGGATTAATGGAGGGTTGGTGGCTTGATGTTGTGGCTTGATGGAGAGTTGGTGGCTTGATGTGGTGGATTGATGGCTTGATGAAGGGTTGGTGGCTTGGTGAAGGGGTGGTGGCTTGATGTTGTGGCTTGAAGAAGGGTTGGTGGCTTGATGAAGAGGTGGTGGCTTGATGTTGTGGCTTTATGGAGGTTTCGTGGCTTTATGTGGTGGATTGATGGCTTGATGGAGGGTTGGTGGCTTGGTGAAGGGGTGGTGGCTTGATGTTGTGGCTTGATGAAGGGTTGGTGGCTTGATTAAGGGTTGGTGGCTTGATGTGGTGGCTTGATGGAGGGTTGGTTGCTTGATGTGGAGGCTTGATGAAGGGTTGGTGGCTTGATGAAGGGTCGGTGGCTTGATGTTGTGGCTTGATGAAGGGTTGGTGGCTTGATGAAGAGTTGGTGGCTTGATGTTGTGGCTTGATGGAGGGTTGGTGGCTTGATGTTGTGGGTTGATGGAGGGTTGGTTGCTTGATTTGGTGGATTGATGGCTTGATGGAGGGTTGGTGGCTTGATGGAAGGTTGATTGCTTGATGAAGGGTTGGTGGCTTGATGTTGTGGCTTGATGAAGGGTTGGTGGCTTAATGAAGGGTTGGTGGCTTGATGGAGGTTGGTTGCATGATGTGGTGGATTGATGGAGGGTTGGTTGATTGATGTGGTGGCTTGATGAAGGGTTGGTGGCTTGATGTTGTGGCTTGATGGAGGGTTGGTGGCTTGATGTTGTGGCTTGATGGAGGGTTGGTGGCTTGATTTGGTGGATTAATGGCTTGATGAAGAGTTGGTGGCTTGATGAAGGGTTGGTGGCTTGATGTTGTGGCTTGGTGAAGGGGTGGTGGCTTGATAAAGGGGTGGGGGCTTGATGTGGTAGCTTGATGGAGGGGTGGTGGCTTGATAAAGGGGTGGTGGCTTGATGTGGTAGCTTGGTGGAGGGTTGGTGGCTTGATGTTGTGGCTTGATGAAGGGTTGGTGGCTTGATGTGGTAGCTTGATGGAGGGTTGGTGGCTTGATGGAGGGTTGGTGGTTTGATGGAGGGTTGATGGAGGGTTGGTGGGTTGATGGAGGGTTGGTGGCTTGATGGAGTGTTTGAGACTTAATTGACAGAGGATTTGATTATTGATGGAAGGTCAAGTACTTTACGGAATTGGTTTGAGGCAAACATGCTCGAGTAAGTAAACTGATAGTAATTCCCTAAAAGATTCTCTAAACAAAATGAAGTGTGTTATTGGGCTCATTGAATGCAAGGAACCACACATTTATGTTTCATCAGCCTTTTAGTTGTGATGACATACAATCAATATATTTTTAAGTATTACCTCATTAATCAAGATTTATCATATTAGTGGAACAGGAAGGGAGTCATTTTCTTTTTATGTAAGAGTGTTCAAGATACAAAGGAAATAAAACAACACTCATATTTCTTCTGCATATGAGTAACCTTGAACTGATGATCTTTAGGTAGACAATTTTACAAACTAATTACATCCAGCAGTTTAATTACTAAACTGGATTTCCAGCTGTATGAAGTAATTGTATAAAGACAATGTATTTATTAGGATGTTAAATCTTCTGTAATGTCTACACTTGTCGGAAAGTAAATTAACATTTTCTGAGCATCGTTTCTCAGCCTGTCACTATAGATAAAAGCCTCTGATGGACACTGATGAGTTCTAGCTGGTTTCTATAAGAGTTTTGGTGATAATGATCTTGTCATATACCCACCATTACTGATCAGTAATGTGCTCAGTGACATTTACCTCCCAGACACATCTACAACTTGCTGGTGCATGATATGTCAATAGCAATGATCAATAAGAGACATCAGCTGATATCTAGGTGTCTAACTTTATAATTAACAGAATGGTAATTTATTAAGGATTCCTGTCCTACTGCAGGCAAAACATTAGAGAATTCCACTGCACTATAATATATGTACAGTTACCTCCCCTTAATTTCCTTTTTGAGATTACTGTGGTGTGACTTGGCCTGTGTTCTACCTTTGACCAGATAGCCCATCGGTTAGAGTGACATCATCATGATCCCAGGTTCGAAACCTATAGTTTCATCCTGTGGTATTTTTAGTAAAAGGAACATTGTTCTTGGTTCTCTTTCATTTATTTCATCTTTATAACTTTTCACTCAAGTCCCACAAGGTATGGTTTTCTTTTTAAAAATGATTTTTCAAAGTTATAGTCGTGAAATCAGCTTAAAATGTATACAGCTTTCGTCAATGGTAACGAGATCCTTAATTTTGTTATTAGATCTTGAGCTAAAATCTGCACTAGTATGAATGTTCATCTTTTAATATTTATCTGAATTTGTCATTTAAAAGTAAATGCCATATGCATGTAATCAATGTTTCTCAAAAAACCCAAATGACCAAATCTAAGATCTATAGGTAACACTCTGTAATCTATAGGTAACACTCTGTAATCTATAGGTAACACTCTGTAATATGTAATTGTGTGTGGTTTATATTTATGATATTTTGTTTGTTAGTTTTCACTTTTTTCGTTGAATCATTGGGATCAGATGAAACTGTGTCTGTCGCGATCTGTCTGTGTGCTTCTATCAATACCGGCCAATCACTGCCGTACATGTACTCCTAGAAGGAGGTGACAATTAATCACACCACACTAATGATTTAGGCCATAAATATGGAAAGTTTTATCACCGATTCATCCATGCAAAGGGAACCAAGATCAAAACTCAATCATGCGAAGAAAGCCTATCAGTTATAAACGAGGTGATCTGGAAAATTAATGCAACTTTTAGCATCAATATTGTGATTCAAGGGCTACAGACCCTATCCATTAATTTTCCTTTGAGTCAGATTAAGACGGCATTAGTTTCAAATTAACAATTTTTACATTTGTCAGTATTGTCAGTATTGTTGTGTTTATCAGACTTAACCAAACCTCCCCCCCCCCCCCAACCCCCCCCCCCCAAATTCCTCCCGCTCCCGACCACAGATGACCTGTCACTGCTCTTGACCTCCGACCTCTTCACACTGAAATCAAACCAATAAAATGATGGAACTATAGAGACATTGGATGGTAACAGATTGGAATTACCACGGTCATTGAGATATTATTGGCTGAATAAATATCTCCCAATGGTCCATTAATCCGCTGATCCTGTATTATCTCCGTATCCAGGGAAACAGTTGAAGGACACACGAGTAGGAACAATGGCAGTTTGACATTCGGTACTTCAGATCAGAAGTTAACATGGTTACTTAGAATTCAAATATGGTAAAGTATCCCACTGACTACCTTATAGGACTGACGTTGGATGACCTTTCACTCCCACAGCTGATTATAATGGAGGACACGTGCTGCCAGATTAACAATGTTAAATGGATTTGTCAGGATAATTCAAACACAGAAAATTTATTTCATGAATGCCAAGTCCAATACTTGATGCAGTTAGAACTCATATTTGTAGCAAGAGTGTGGCTTAAACTGATGAAATGACCACTGCATCAACAATGACGAACATCCAGAGGGACTCGAAGACCGTCTGGTTCATTTTAGTCCCATAATTAATTTTGATATCTCCAAGGAAACATCCTGCTGACCAGGACAGATCTAAGGCTGGATTAATCAGCTGGGACAAAACATTGCTGTGATCATGACATTTAACTAATATGGGGAGACCACTGTTGTTGCCATTGGTAACATCATCCTATGCTGTGGTGGGTTAATTTTCACAATTTGGTTGACAACTAGATCAAAATTATTAATCACTTGAAAGTACACCCACAAAATAAAACATGGCAAACTGTTTCAATTTTGTTTATCATATATTTCATTGTTTCCTGGAACAATGTATCATTTACCAGGTTATAAATAAGTGTTATACAATTAAATAGCAACTAATGGTGAAAGCTCCCAACTCATTGGAACAACCTGCTAGGAGTCGGTAAACATGTTTGATTACCTGCCAGTGGGTAACACCCTGGACATTATTTCATTGGTCAATCTTCTAATTATGGCCTCAAGTAATGGTGAAAGCTCCCGACCCATTGGATAAACCTGCTAGGAGTCGGTAAACATGTTTGATTACCTGCCAGTGGGTAACGCCCTGGACATTATTTCATTGGTCAATCTTCTAATTATGGCCTCAAGTAATGGTGAAAGCTCCCGACCCATTGGATAAACCTGCTAGGAGTCGGTAAACATGTTTGATGACCTGCCAGTGGGTAACACCCTGTGTCTTCTAATTATGGCCTCAAGTAATGGTGAAAGCTCCCGACCCATTGGATAAACCTGCTAGGAGTCGGTAAACATGTTTGATGACCTGCCAGTGGGTAACACCCTGTGTCTTCTAATTATGGCCTCAAGTAATGGTGAAAGCTCCCGACCCATTGGATAAACCTGCTAGGAGTCGGTAAACATGTTTGATGACCTGCCAGTGGGTAACACCCTGTGTCTTCTAATTATGGCCTCAAGTAATGGTGAAAGCTCCCGACCCATTGGATAAACCTGCTAGGAGTCGGTAAACATGTTTGATGACCTGCCAGTGGGTAACACCCTGTGTCTTCTAATTATGGCCTCAAGTAATGGTGAAAGCTCCCGACCCATTGGATAAACCTGCTAGGAGTCGGTAAACATGTTTGATGACCTGCCAGTGGGTAACACCCTGTGTCTTCTAATTATGGCCTCAAGTAATGGTGAAAGCTCCCGACCCATTGGATAAACCTGCTAGGAGTCGGTAAACATGTTTGATGACCTGCCAGTGGGTAACACCCTGTGTCTTCTAATTATGGCCTCAAGTAATGGTGAAAGCTCCCGACCCATTGGATAAACCTGCTAGGAGTCGGTAAACATGTTTGATGACCTGCCAGTGGGTAACACCCTGTGTCTTCTAATTATGGCCTCAAGTAATGGTGAAAGCTCCCGACCCATTGGATAAACCTGCTAGGAGTCGGTAAACATGTTTGATGACCTGCCAGTGGGTAACACCCTGTGTCTTCTAATTATGGCCTCAAGTAATGGTGAAAGCTCCCGACCCATTGGATAAACCTGCTAGGAGTCGGTAAACATGTTTGATGACCTGCCAGTGGGTAACACCCTGGACATTATTTCATTGGTCAATCTTCTAATTATGACCTCAAGTAACAATGCTTTGAGATGTCACCTTCCATTGTGACTTCATAGTTTCATAGCAACTGTTTCTGTAATAAATTTCCAAGAGAAATATATGGTTTTCTAGATATGATCTGAGCTAAAAGGGAAAAAAAGGTCCCTATACTAGTAGGGGTTGATTATCATGTTTATCTTACACCTCGTTAGTTAATTTTCAAATAGTAGAAGACACTCAGTTAACCTTGTGTCTTCATGCAATTTGAAAATGAACAAACTCGAGATAGATAAACATGATAACCAATCATCACTCATTGGGGACCTCTGATAACCACCTACCCAATCCAAAGTCACACCAAGAACAGTTTGTATATACACTATAACACACATTAGCTTTTCGTAGAGAAATTATTGGGAAATTTGAAATAAAGATTCACGTAGGTTAAGCCCTTCTGGTAGCACTAAGTACCTGTAGGCTAGCAAAATATTAATTATCCAAATAAGGAGAATAAAGCATTAACAAAGATTTCTATTTACAAATAAAACAGTAATCCTGGCCTTGAATCAATAACCCTAAATGTAAAATCTTTGAAGTTTGCCTATAATGATTACTATAAATTTCTGTCCAAATCAAAAGATAAACAAATTGACCCAGTGACCTTGACCTTAAGTCAGTTGACTCCTTGTTAAATTCCAACCAACTTTGCTTCATAATGTCATAACAAAATGTTCATCAGTGAAAAGTTACAAAACTTGATCTTGATCTTTGACCTAGTGACCTTGACCTTTGGTCAATTGACCCCTTGTTTAACTCTGACCAACATTGCTTCAAAGTATCAAAACGAAATGTTCACCAGTGAAAAGATACAACATGTAACCTTTACCTTTGACCCAGTGACCTTGAACTTTGGTCAACTGACTCCTTGTGTAATTCCGACCAACTTTCCTTCAAAGTATCATAACAAAATGTTCCACAGTGAAAAGATACTGAATTTGACCTGAACCTTTGTCTCAGTGACCTTGACCTTAAGTCAGTTGACTTTTTGTTAAACCTCCTTGGTAAATTCCAACCAACTTTGTTTCATCTTGTCATAACAAAATGTTCATCAGTGAAAAGTTACAAAATTTTACCTGGATAATTGACCCAGTGACCTTGACCTTTGGTCAATTTACCCCTTGTTTAACTCTGACCAACATTGCTTCAAAGTATCAAAACGAAATGTTCACCAGTGAAAAGATACAAAATGTAACCTTCACCTTTGACCTAGTGACCTTGACCTTTGGTCAACTGACTCATTGTTTAATTTCGACCAACTTTGCTTCAAAGTGTCATAACAAAATGTTCCCCAGTGAAAAGATACTGAATTTGACCTGAACCTTTGTCTCAGTGACCTTGACCTGAAGTCAGTTGAATTTACTGAAAATGTGCAATTAGTTGACCTTTGACCTTGAGGTGAAGGTCACAGTGACCTAATTCCAGTGCACTGCACACCTCCAGTTTATATGTCCCCCTTTCCTATTTATATGTCCCTCTCTCCAGTTTATATGTCCCCCTCTCCAGTTTATATGTCCCCCTCTCCAGTTTATATGTCAACCTCTCTAGTTTATATGTCCCCTCTCTAGTTTATATGTCCCCCTCTCCAGTTTATATGTCCCCCTCTCCAGTTTATATGTCCCCCTCTC